TGACACTACAAAAGAACCAAAAGGAATTAAAAGAATAATAACATACTACAATGAAAGACTGTACTCCAACAAGTTTGAAAACCTAGATGAAATGGACAAATTTCCAGAAATACATCATCTACCAAAATTAACAAATCTGATGCAGAAAACCTCAACACACCTGTAACAAAAGATGAAATAGAGTAGATTATTAAAAAGTTTCCAACAATCACTGAAGACAAAGTGGGTGAATAAGTAAATGTGGTGAAGAAAGCTGATGGTGCCCGGCTACCAAAAGATATAGCGTCTGGGGTCTTAAAGGCTTGAAGGTAAACAAGCGGTCATCTAGCTCAGAAGCAACAAAGCCCAAATGGAAGAAGCATACCAGCCTGTGCAATCACGAGGTGTCGAAGAGATCAGGTATCAGGCATCATCAGAAAAAAAAGTCATATCATTGTGAATGAGGGGGAGAGTGTGGACTGGAGACCCAAAGCCCATTTGTAGGCCACTGGACATCCCCTTACAAAAGGGTCTTGGGGAGGAGACGAGCCAGTCAGGGTGTGATGTAGCAACGATGAAACATACAACTTTCCTCTAGTTCCTAAATGCTTCCCCCCTCCACACACACTATCATGATCCCAATTCTGCCTTACAAATCTGGCTAGACCAGAGGGTGTACACTGGTACAGATAGGAACTGGAAACACAGGGAATCCAGGGCGGATGATCCCTTCAGGACCAGTGGTGTGAGTGGCAATACTGGGAGGGTGAAGGGAGGGTGGGTTGGAAAGGGGGAACCGATTAAAAGGATCTACATATAACCTCCTCCCTGGGGGACGGACAACAGTAAAGTGGGTGAAGGGAGACGTCGGACAGGGCAAGATATGACAAAATAATAATTTCTAAATTATCAAGGGCTCATGAGGGAGGGGGGAGCAGAGAGGGAGGGGAAAAACGAGGAGCTGATGCCGGGGGTTTAGGTGGGCAGCAAATGTTTTGAGAATGATGAGGGCAACGAATGTACAAATGTGCTTTACACAATTGATGTATGTATGGATTGTGATAAGAGTTGTATGAGCCCCTAATAAAATGATTTTTAAAAAAACTTTCCAACCAAGGCCAGATGTCTTCACAGGGGAATTCTATCAAGTATTTAGAGAAGAGCTATCACCAATTCCGCACAGATTGTTCCAGAATATAAAAAGGGACAGCAAACTTCCAAACTTCTTTTATGAAGCCAGCATAACTCTGATACCAAGACTAGGCAAAGACACCAGAAAAACAGAAAACTACAGACCAATGTCCATTATGAACATAGACACGAACATTCTGAACAATATCCTGGCCAAGAGTCCAACAATATAGTACAAAAATGCACCATGATCAAGTGTGATTCATGCTCTATGCAAGGATGGTTCAGCATAAGAAAACAATCACCACATAAACAAAACAAAATAATAACCACATGATCATAATGATACAGAAAAGGCATTTGACAATATCTGACATTCATTTATGATAAAAGCACACAACCAAATAAGAATAGAAGGGATTTCTCAACAGAATAAAGTCCATATGCAAAAAATCAATGGCTGCTTTTGGCTTTCCGCTGGGAGGAGGGTTTGGCACAACTTTCTAGGGTCATCCTGCATCTGGGTTCATCCGACACCAGCTGCCTCCGCCATGCCACCCAAGTTCCACCCCAAGGAGTTCAAAGTTGTTGGGTACTCTAGGTGTGGCCGGGGCTTCCGGATGGAGTATCGCTACTCACCACGGCCAGTCAGGCCTGCGGCTCCTGCCGCACCAGCCTTCCCCATGTCAATTTTTTCCCCCTTGGCCTTTTAGAGACCTCCTAGGAGCTTCCGGTGTTGCGATCAGGGTGCGGTGCGGTCCTGGTCGAGTGTCTTTAACACTTTCTGGGCTTCAGCTTCCCCATGCGTAAATGAGGAGGGAGGACCAGACGACGTGTGGCAGTTTGGCAGCCTGCACGCCCCAGGTGTACTTAAGGTACACCAGTGGGGAAGTCAGTGCCACGTCAGTCTGCACTGGCCCCCAAGATCGGCCCCCTGGGTTTGTCTCCAAAGAAGGTTGGTGATGACATTGTCAAGGCAACCGGTGACGGGAAGGGCTTAAGGTTTACTGTGAAATTGACCATTCAGAACAGACAAGCCCAGATTGAAGTGGTAGCGGCTGCCTCTGTCTTCATCATCAAAGCCCTCAAGGAACCACCCAGGGATAGAAAGAAGCAGAAAAACACTAAGCATATTGGGAACGTCACTTTCGTTGAGATCGTCAGCATTGCCCGTCAGATGCGGCACCGATCTCTGATCAGAGAACTCTGGAACTATTAAAGAGATCCTGGGGATTGCCCAGTCTGTGGACTGCAATGTTAATGGGCGCCACCCTCATGATATCATAGATGACATCAACAGTGGTACAGTGGAATGTCCAGCAAGTTAAGAACCACAAAAGAAAACAATTAAGAATCATTTAATAATAATCAAAATAAAACCAATGACCACCATCTCACACAACAGGGAAAACTGAAAGCATTTACCCTTTGAAGTGGAACCAGACAAGGATGTCCTGTCTCCATTCTTATTCAACATTGTGCTGGAAGTCTTAAGCAGGACTATTAGACAAGAAGAAATCAAAAGATTCCAAATGACCAAAGAAGTGGAACTGTCACTATTTGCACATGATATAATTTTATATGCAGAAAACCCCAAAGACTCATCAAAAAGATTATTAGAAAAAGAACGAGAGATTTGGCAATGTCACAGGATATACGAGCGAATACACAAAAAAACTTCAGAATTGCGCTGGGCAGCTTTCATAGTACAGATTTTACCCAGGTAGACGAGCATTTTAGCATCTTGTTCAGAGTTAGTGCACTCAGTGGCATCACCTGGGAAGGTTCTTGTTAGTCACAGTAAATTTTTTCATAAAAGCAGTTTCGCTCAAACCTCATTTTTTGTGATGGCTGATTTAAGAGAACAGTGTGAGACTTTTAAATTTTGTTTCCTTCTCAGGAAAAATACCACAGGACTGTTGTGATGCTGAACACAGCTTACCAGGACAGTGCTATGGGAAAAACTCAAGTGTATGAGTGGTTTTCTCATTTCAAATAGGTGAAGTGTTGATGAAAACCTCATTCTGGACGTTACAAAGGGGCAAATATTATTACTATAAGGACAAACACCAAAACAAAAACATGCATCTGTTTTTCAGTCAAGTAAGCATTTAACCCAGTCTCTCAAACAACGTGGTGGAATGTCCATTTTGATGTTTATAATCCATTTACTACTATCTTATTTGTACATCTTAAAAACTACTTCTTTAAAGGGGGTCTTGCCTCAGCTGGGGTCAGTTTTTTATTTAGTGGGAGCGAGGGACAGGACCAAACAATCCCCGCCAGCCCCAATTAAGGCACTCCTATAATGGTGATCAGTAAATTTCATTGGGAAATTATGGTCAGAGGGAGGGAGGGACATGTCTGCCTTGGAGAAGGTGATTTCACTTCTGTTGGTGGGAGCATCCCCCAAGGAGGATCCTGTCCTTGGAGGGAATGTTTAACATTACGAATATAGATTCCAAATGGGCAAAAATTAATCGAGTATTTTGTTATTCATATACATTTTTTCCATTTTATTGGGAGCTAATAGATATATAATTCCAATCATGCATTTTTTTACCCTGGCTGTGTGCTATAGAGTACCTGGATTTTAGGTTTTGTCTCTTTGAGGAGTCTAGCATTCTTCATTGACTGCATCAGAATTACATAATTTGGAAACCTCACTAAGGGAACCAGACTACATTAAATACGGTGTTGCAGACTAAAGGAATTGAAATGCTCCTTTGGATTTATAGCTGAAACACCCTAGGGTGAGAATCAGAGGACTGCTATCCCAAGGTGGTAGATTTAGAAGTGAGTGGACTCTTGTTAGGGTATCTTCTAAATATAGGTCCAATCAAAACATTGGTTCCAGAGGGGTTCTGCTGGGCCAGTTAGATTCAAGGCAGAGAGGTCAGCTCATCAGGTTATAATAACTGTTTGTTTGGGGGTATATGTGCAGGGTAGAACTGTCACTGAGAATTTTGTCTTTCTCCTGAGGAGTGGCTGGTGGTTTCAAACTGGTGACCTTGTTGGTTACAGCTCAACTCATAACCACTATACCACCAGGGTTCTTCTTTTGCAGAGGTTGGAAAGCTAAAAATACATTTCACAGATTCCCCTGCAACTAGGATTCTATGTCTATAATATAGACCCAGATGCAACCGCCTGAAACTTGAAGGGTAGAAGAGAGGCACAGGCAGTGCTTCTGCCACTTGCGCTATTAAAAATGGTGATGAATATGTCTGGTTTTCCTATTACAATTTAGTGCACTAGCTTGCGAGTTGCTGAAAGGCAGGGTGCGTGGCTGCTATTTTGCTCGTATAAATGTATAATCTAGAGTAGGTTGTAGCGATACCAAGAGTATTGGCCTCATTAGGACAGTGGAAATAGTAGTTTCCTGACTGTAGAAGAGTTGTTAGCTCCTTCCGTGGCCCGATTTTGTGATATAGTTTGGAAATTGTTCTTGAAAGATCAGTTTAGAGTCAGTCCCTTCTGATCTGTAACTCTTAATTTAAATAATAAAATAATCCAGTGGCTACTGAGTCTCTTCTGATTCTTGGTGAATCTTGGAGTACTGTGCTCGATGGAGTTCTCAACAGCTGCTTTTGCAGAAATAGATCACCAGGCCTTTCTGCAAGGTGCCTCTCCAGAAACATAAACTGAACTCACTGCCATCTATATACCTCTAGGACTAGATGAACACACATCTCTTGCCTTTCTGTTAGCAACTGAGTGTGCTAAACATTTGCACCACTCAGGGACTCTGAGGCTTTTGGTATGCAGTAATAAATCCTTTCCTAGCAAAACTACTTAGAGTGAATACTGTTCTCTGAAATGGAATCTAAGCTGACACAGGAAGAAAAGTTCTCAATTGATAGCTGCGTTATATGTAAATAAAAACATCATCACAATAAATAACAGTAATGTATTTAAATAAGCCATTTTTTCATGTGTAATATAATGGATTTACAATATTTATTTGTATAAAGACAGGTAAAGCCACCTTATAACATTTCATGTAATTTATAAGTTATAATACACTGGTTCAGTTTGACACAGCTATGTAAGATTTTTAACATTAAGAACCACCCATTTATTTTAACAAACAACTAGAAAATTTGTTTCTCTTGTAGACTCAGAAAATAAAATTGTTTGCCTTATTAAGTTATACATATAATCTTTTTTAATTCATAAAATGTCTCTTAAGTATTAAATTTTAATTGATCTAGGCTAAAATACAATACTCAGTAATCTTCAATATTCTGACTTTAAAATCAATATCAAATATTAGTAACATATATTCTTAAGAAATTATCTTGTTTTGTACATAGAGTTAACAAAATAGTCAACAAAATGTGTATACTAGTGCCTTTATATATAAACATAGAACTTTGTGTCTCTCCAGAGCTACTGTGGTATCATTGCATAATAGATTATCTTTTTTCCTTTGTGCATAAACTATTAACTTGTGAAATGTAGATTACGTTTCAGTCCATCGTTTTTGAGAAGATGAGTAGATGTAGATGTTTATGTCCTAAGTACCCCTTTAAGTGGCAAGGTCTTTGAGAAGACGAGGTTTACCACATCGTTTTGAAGACATGAAGAAAGATTTTCATGATGCCCAATTTATGAAATGTTTAGAGGGTCAACTTGAAAATTCTTGAAACTCTGCAATAAGTGGAGTCTAGGGTGACAAAGCCTTCTGTTTAAGGCCTTGTTCACAGGGAACTCTCATCAAAGGCTGACTGTACAGATTCCTTCCCGGGAAGGCAGACTTCTTGGGTCACTGAAAGATGTTTGCCCTTTCATGGCTTCATATTTAGAAAAGTCAAAGGGCTTAAAACCAATGTCTTTTGTGAAGAAATATAATTCCAATAGATGCGTTTGATTTCTATGATTGATTGAGGAATTGCTCTTGTCCGAGATAGCAAGAAGACGGGGCAAATGTGGATTCATTTCGTTTTGGTTTGTTTGTTTGCCTGCTTTAACAGTGCTAACAAAGTCCATTATCTCTTTAAGTGGACTTTCATTGTAGGGACTGAACACAAGCTACGAGCAGCATAAAATACACAGAGATTACATATCTAAATTAGGTAGTCAGAACTTTGTAGCTAGATGCTGGTAATTCTGTACATCACCTTGACAATCACTGTACACAAGTATATTTTATGAACTTGCCAGACTAACAAAAGTTCAGTTTTAAGTGTATCTACTTTTTATGTAATTTAAAGCAGGAGTGTTGAGGATCCACTCTCTCAAGCTAGAACCAAAGAACCAAAGCAGTCCCAAGCTATTCTGAGACAAACGGCACAAAAAACAATGCTCAGAAGAATCTGAAGTAATTTCTCAGTGTAAATGAAAGATGTACAGAGTTAATGAAAGCATTTCTTAATCGTTTTGAAAAAGCTTACAATCCAAATCCAACATTTTTCTTACATCAACGAGTTTAGAGTTCTTGATTTTAAAAACAACATCAGTAACAGAGATAGAGGTGGACGTCAGTAGCGTCTGAAACCCTCAGAAGCTACTAAAAAATACTTATTAGAAGACAAAATCAGATTAATTTCAAAATTTGCAATATTTTAAATGACAGGTGACTTGAAAACAGGGTTTCCCAATGGCAATTTTCTAGGTAAATAAAGGCATATTCATCTCACAGCCCAGTTTTCTAATGCATTCTCATTGATCGGAGACAGGTTGGAAAGTATGATTTAATCTGTATGACATATCACCATCACTGACACTCAACCACACCACCATCTTTAGAAAATCATCACTAAATTCATATGCAAAGAGCAACCCCTTACTAAAAGTGATAAGCTGGTGCCCTCTGGTGGTAACATTTAACATATTTTCCTGACATTGCATATCTTGTGAAATATAAAAAGAACATTTGTATTTGAGAATATCAAAATTTGAGGGAAGCATCATTGTACTCCAGAGTATCTTCCCCTTTTTGCCCACAAACACACTGGCAACAACTTACAGGAGAATCTCTGGAACCAAACTCCCAGGAGTCAAGCTGGTAGCTTCATGAATCCTGATTAAACTTGTCTATGACGGGCAATTCCCGTTAGGAGATTTACATCTTGGTTCTAGACCTTAACTGAAAGGCTTTTGCATTTTCTAGCTTGGCTTTTACACCTATAGGTTTCTCAAAAAACCTCACTAAAGCAGGTTCATTCAACAAGGATGCAAGAATCTGTTCAAATGAGAATGACCACTGAGGTTCCTCCTTAAGTAAGGAGGGATCTATCTCTTGCAAGTGGGTCTCTGTTGTCCCCTCACTGGGTCCTCCACAGACAGTCCCAGAGGATCCTTTGGCTGATGACGTAGGGCTGTGGAGTTTCCTTCCAACTTCTTCCATCTTGAGTAAAAGTCTGGTTACGACAGCAATGGCTTGATATAATGACTCTTCTTCGGGGTCTCCATGGAATAAGTTGTAAAGGGTCTTTGAAAACTGAATAAACTGTGACTAGAAGACACAAGTTGGAAATATCACATTTGAATTAGATTTGGCAAATATAAAGAGGATTTAGATGTGAATAATCTATATAAAGTTTGTACCATACAATAATCTTCACCCTAGAAACCTTGAGAATTGGTGATCAATCTCAAAAGATAAATTAGTTCAAGAAAGATGAGCATGGACCATGGAAGAAAATGACATTTAAGTCTTCTCACGTATTGTCTCATAGTAGGCAGCACAATATATTTAGCATGACAAATTCCTGGAGAGTTTACCTGTAGGCATACTTCAATGTTAAACAGGATTTTAATTAGACACAGTCCCATATTTCCCTACCTGTAAATCATTCATTCACTCATTAACCAAACTTACTACAAGAATGAAGAATGAGTTCCACTTAATCTCCACAAATGGCTCAAAGTGGGCAGTTCAACTAGGGCAATTTACTAGGAAGAGAGTTGTTTTGAGACCCATTTAATAGTGCAATGATGACCTAAGAAGCCCATTTGGGCATGTTCCTTTTTAAAGACTAAGATGGGACCCAAGCTGTGATATAAAATAGTCTTTCTGATAATTGCCCTTAGATAGTTTGTCAATTAAAAAAATGATTCTAACCTAAAAAAGTCAATCATCCCATCAGAAAAGTTTACTTATACATTTACAGGGTATACGTTATAAAAAAATATATATGGTAACAAGCTTTTTAAAATTTCTTTTTCTTCCGTAGGCTGTGGTATTATTCATTCATAATAACCTAGAAATAAATATACTGACTAATTTAAAATACTTATATTCAGTTCTCAAATTACCTAGTCCACTGAGAAATATTAAGTTGTTTGATACTTCTCATTTTGGTCATATGTTGAGGATCCATAGTACCCAAGAAAACACAATTTAATTGAAAAATAAGACTACATTCTGACTGGATAGTGTGTACGAAAGAGATGAATTGTGTCAACTGTAGTTGTTTGTACTGCCTGAGCAGGCACAGATAAGGAGCTCATAGGAACCAGGGTTGGCCCTCTATTAGTAATTTTTTAGCTACTTTTGGATTTGGCGCAACTAGTAAGCATTAAAAATGGTGACTAAATGAATGAACTTATCCAAAGTGAGATTTTCCTACTCTTCTGTGGAAGAGAAGGCACTGAATTATATGGATCATCATGACTTTTTATAGGCATAAATGTTTATGTCAGTGGAATTATACTGAAACATTAAGATGCATTTAAGCATTTTAAAAATACTTAAATCTGGTTCCCACTCTTCTGTGCAAGTTAGAGATAATACATAGATCGTTTCACTGTTTTCAGAATAGCATGTTAGCTACTTCAGAGTTCACCTAGATTCATACCCAAAATGAGAACCTAGAATTTTCTTGCTTAAAATACTATGCCTAAAAAAAAAAAAGAAGAAAATACTATACCTGATTCATTCTTGGCAAATTCTTAATGTTCTCTTCCTTTTTGAAAAGCTCTTCTTGCCACTGACTTAGGTAGGCTTGAATATCAACTTTGCCTTTGCCTAAAGAAAGGGAATAGCACCATTTCATATTAAACAACCCACTAGAGTTTCCTTTGAGTCCATACATTTCATTGAGTCCATTTCTGTTCAAATTCAGTCAATTATCTGGATTTACCTTTTCTTTCATTCATCGGCTCTTAGAATGCTTTCTCTATCTCCAATTAGACAAAGATTTTTATTTTAGGAAAGTTGAGAGCAGAGAGAATTTGAGGACAAAGGATGTATTTAAACTGCAACAGCCCACCACGTTTGGACAATGCAAATTTCATGCAGACATTCTAATACAAAGACATTAAAAAGAGCTTATATATTGTGTTCTTAATATGTATATGCCACTGTGGTCTATAGCAGCTCTTTTTCAAAAAGTCAAAACCACTACTCATTCACTCATTCCTTAAAAGATTCCTTTAAACCAGCGGTTCTCAACCTGTGTGCCACAATCTCTCTGGGGGTCTAACGACCCTTTCACAGGGGTCGCCCAATTCATAACAATAGCAAAATGACAGTTATGAAGTAGCAACGAAAATAATTTTATGGTTGGTGAAGGGGGGGGGTCACCAAAATAGGAACTGTATTAAAGGGTCACAACATTAGGAAGGTTGAGAACCACTGCTTTAAACCAAGATATTGGTATTGATTCATTAATTTATTTTTTGGTGTTAATTTATTAATAATGTTTTAGAATCCCTTGGGAAACTGGGTGGAAATACTGAATGACCAGGGAAATATGTACATTTAAGCAATTAATTATTCTTTTCTATTGTTTTTATTGTTGTAAAAAGATATACAACATAAAATTTACCAAGTTAAAAATTTTTCACAGGTATAATTCCATGACATTAATTAAATTACATATGCAAGATGGATGGATGGATGTACATCCAACCCCAATATCTATTGACAAATTTTCCATCACTCTAAAATGCTTCCTAAACAGTAATTCTTTCTTAACTAGAATTTACTAAAAATAAACAATCATCATAGATTACAGTTTAATAGTCTCTATTGAAATATTAAATATGCATAACTCTTTGTACTTATTCCAGCATTGCCACACTTATATGTATCTGTACTGTCCTACACACATATTTGTAAAAGTACCCTAAAATGTATGTTGCAGTATGATTTGTAAGAAGAATAATTAGAAACAACTGAAATATCTATCAATACAGGCCTAGTTATAGCAATAAATTGTTTGTTGGTGTTACATGTGGTTGAGTCAAGAAAACACTGTCTAGTCCTGTTCCATCCTCATAATCATTGCATTGAGACCACTATTACAGTCACTGTGGTAATCCATCTCCTTGACAGTCTTCCTCTTTTTCCGCTACCCCTTTACTTTACCAAGCTCCTTCCAGATAACATGTCCAAAGAACATGAGATGACGCTTCATCATCCTCGCTTCTAAAGAGCATTCTGGCTATAGTACTTCTTTTAAGACAGATTTGTTCCTTCTCTTGGCAGTCTATAGTATATCAAATATTCTTCACCAACACAATTCCAATGCATAAATTATTTGGTTTTCCTTATTTATTGACCAGCTTCTGCATGCATATGAGGCAAATGAAAATATTATAGCTTGGGCAGGCACATTTAAGTCCTCAAAGTGACATCTTTGCTCCTTAACACTTTAAAGTGGTCTTTGGCAGGTAGTTAACCTAATACATTATTTGATTTCTTGACTGTTGCTTCTTTGGTCAGTGATTGTAGATCCAAGTAAAATGAAATTCTTGACAACTTCAATATTTTCTTCATTTATTTTGATGTTGCTTATTGGTGCAGTTGTAAGGATTTCAAAAAATTTTTATGTTGAGATCAAATCTTTACTGAAGGGAGAGTTCCAGCAAGATGGTGACCGAATATCACACCAGAGGGACTCCGCAGAAATCAGCACAGGAGAGCCGCTGAAGGGAAACTCCACTGTCTGGGTTACAGAAGGAGCATCATAAAGATAAGTAGATGCAGATCCACTAGGTTTCGAAGAGCTGGCTTACTACTGAGGAGGCCAGCTAGGGCTAAACCTTAGCCCCACCACAGTCTCGGCTGGTACAGGGCCTCTTTGGACGGCCCAAGGGCTTTACTTCAACACAACCTTTGAGGAAAAGGAGAAAATCATAAGAGCAGCTAGGGAAAGACAAGCAGACTACTATGAAGGCACCCTAATGATAATATGCTCAGACCTATCAGTGGACAATGAAGAAGAGGGAGAGAGTGGAGCAACATATTTAAAGGAAAATTATCCAAACCCAAGAGTATTCTATCCAGCTAAATTACATATCAAGATAGGTGGGTAAGTAAGAGTCTTCCCAGACAAGAAAACTCAAAGAATACATTAAAAGAAACCCAGCCCTACAAAAGCTCCATGCCCACCCAGTATGGGCCGAATAACAAGATTAACCAAGCACAAATAAGAGACCACCACATAGAACAACCTCACCCAGAGAGCAACCAAGAGATAACAGTCCCCAAGGTAGCATTGTCTCAATGGTAGAAAGCAAGCACACACACACACACACATACACAAAACATACTGATAAGAAAGGGAGGTAGTAAAACACCAACACAAAAGGTACAAGGGCCTATACTTAAGTATGCCCTCAACACAAGAACATTTTATTCTAATAACCCGGCATTCTGGGTGCATAAGCAAATGTGGGGAGAAAAAGATGATGGTGCCCAGCTATCAAATAATATAGCGTCTGGGGTCTTAAAGGTTTGAAGATAAACAAGAAGCCATCTAGCTGAGAAGCAACAATGCCCACATGGAAGAAGCACACCAGCCTGTGTGCTCATGAGTTGTCGATGGGATCAGGTATCAGGCATCAAAAACCAAGAACAAAAAAATCATGTCAATGTGAGTGAGGAGGAGTGCAGAGTGGAGATCCAAAGCCCATCTGTAGACAATTGGACACCCCCTTACAGAAGGATCACAAGGAAGAAACGAGGCAGAGTGCAGCATAGCACCGATGAAACATACAACCTTCCTCTAGCTCTTTAATGCTTCCTCCCCGCCACACTATCATGACCCCAATTCTACCTTACAAATCCGGCTGGACCAGAACTAGACCATGTATACTGGTACAGAAAAGAGCTCGCAACATAGGGAATCCAGGACAGATAAACCCCTCAGGACAAATAATGAGAATAGTGATACCAGGAGGGTAAGGGAAAGGTGGGGGGGAGAAAGGAGGAGCCGATCATAATGGTCTACATATAACCCCCTCTCACGGGAATGGACAATAGAAAAATAAGTGAAGGGAGATAGCAGTCGGTGTAAGATACATTTTTAAAAATAAATTATCAAGAGTTCATTTGGGTAGGGGATGAGTTTATACCAAGGGCTCAAGTAAAAAGAAAATGTTTTGAAAATGATGGCAACATATGGATAATGTGCTTGACACAATGGATGGATGGATTGTGATAAGAGCTGTATGAGCCCCCAAATAAAATGATATTAAAAAAGAAATCTATACTGAAGGCTGTAGTCTTTGATTTTTATTAGTAAAGTAAATGCTTTAAGTCATCTACATATCACAGGTGGTTAATGCATCTTCCTGTGATCCTAATGCTGTGTTATTCTTCATATAGTCCAGTTTCTTGAATTATGTGCTCAGCATCCAGATTGAGTAAATATGGTGATGCACAACTTTCTTGATTTTAAACCACTCTGTTTGAATGACTGTGTCTCTTGGTTTATGTATAGGTTCCCCAAGATCAGAATTCTTATTCTTTGAAATGTTAGCCATAATGCATTAGTAGTATCCAGAGTTGAATGCTCTTGTATAAGCAATACAAATCAGGTAAACATCTTTCTAGTATTCTCTGCTTTCAGCCAAGATATCTCTGATATTCACAACGGTGTCCCTTATTCCAGACCCTCTTCTTGAATCTCACTTGAAATTCTGGCAGTTGAAACTCACTGCCATTGAGTTGATGCCAACTCATAGTGCCCCTATAGGACAGGGTAGAACTGCCTCCCTGTGCGTTTTTGAGACTGTGACTCTTTACAGGAGTAGAAAGTTCAGTCTTTCTCCCCCCCTGTTGAAGGATTGCTGCAAATGCTCTTGAATTATCTTCAAAAAACTTTGCTTGTCTGTGACAGTAATGATATTGTTGGATAGTTTCTGCACTCTCCTGGATCACCATTCTGTTTTCAGTATCTACCTCAAGGTAGTGTTGAGCAAGGGGCATGAGGAAAGTACTATTTATTACTTTGGAAATAAATCATTCAAAAATAATAATGTAGGCCATTGACTATTATATGTTCTCTAGTTTCTGAGAGTTATCAAAAGAGGTAAAAATTGTTAGACCAACACAAAGAAACTGAAAACGGGCTGAGAACAAATAAATAGCCCTAAAAAGAATCCACGGTTCCTCCTGTGTAGTTGATTACAAAAATCTTAGCTTAATAACCTAAGTTACATGATATCCCTAGGTCACAGTACCTTTATCAGGGCTATTTTTCACTGATTCTGCTTCCTTCTCATTTGCCGGCCTGGAAACTAGAGGAACAGAGGGCAATTGCATTTTGTTAGCTAGTTAATCTGTACCATGCGAAAATAAAACAATATTTCATATATAAGGACTTCTTGTAAGTGCATGCTACTTTCTTTGAGTCAGCTAACCAATTATAGCTGATCTAACCTACCTTCCTGCATTAGTCGTGGAAGGACTTACTAACTGGAAGAGTAAAAGTAACACTGAGGAAAAATCTATATTAAAAAAAAATCCTAGGAGGAAGTATGCCAAGTAGTGTTCATTCTGGGTAATATTTTGCTCTTTCTGATTTTCCTCTTATTGAATCACATTACTTTTACTATGAGGAAAAATGAAAAAGAAAGAAGAGAAAAGCACACTTAAAGGCAGAAGTTTCTAGTAATAACTCATTGTGAAATTTTGTACCCGTTACTTCTCACTGGACCTCAGTGCCTATATATATAGTCTTGACTTAGATGATTCCTATGGTCTTTTTAAACATCATGTTCAAATACTTTAACCTACAGTAACCAAAAATATACATTCATCAGACCTCATTCCTCCAAGAGACATTGCATATTTATGAAACTGAAGCGAAGAGTATAAAAATAAACTCATATCACTTCCAAATTACGTCTTCAAGGCAGATTCATCCATGGCTTTTATATCGAGAGTAATTATAATGAGCATTCACTGTTTGAATAACTATGACCCCCAATCAGCAAAGGTTTTATTGTCTTCATTATGTTTTATAGCAAGACATGAAAATGCCTTGCTGATACAATTCTGAAATTTCTGAAACATAAGTAGAAACAAAATTCATTTTCTTTTTTGATTATCCAGCAAATAGGAAAGTATACATATCAAAACCCCCAAATGCAGTTTGACTAATAAATCAAATATTTATGGTATACTTACCAGGAACTTAATACTGTGCAAAGTGCTACAGTAGAACAAAAGAAGTGTAATTAATCCCAATATTACTAATTATAATTAGGTCAAGAAAAATTTTAAGCCAGGATGATCTCTATGAAATCAATGATCAGTACAGATAAACTTTTAAACAGAAATATACCGTGCAGTTGACTGAAATAAAGTAATTCCTCCTTGGAAAGTTCATCTCCTTTTGAAGGGTCCTGTGATTTCACATCAGTATAAGCTGTAAACAGAAACCCAAACCACATTTACTAACAATGAGAAAGAGGAGGTGCATAGCACATCAGGTAAACTGGGGCACCAAGTTAAATAAAGGGTCTCTGTATGGGGCGGGTGTTGATAAGTGGTTTGAACTGTTGAATACACAGTTGATAGTCTGAAATGTAAACTTTCCCCACAACAGTTCACAATAAAAATAAAAGGGTCTCTGTAGACAAAGGACATGTGAAAAAAAATCATGTAAGTGATGTTATTTTACTAATGAAGAATAAAAAGTGCTTAGTCATTTTGAGTCCTAGTATTTCTTCTGCTTGCTTTATAAAAGCTTTCTGAGAGCCATTACAAATTGAAATAAGAAAATATGGCATTTGGAAATTTCTGAAAGTGTGACCCAAGTCATTTAAAAAGCTTCAATGACAAAACAAGGGACTATAATAATAGCACTCAAAAGAATTCCTTTTGAAGACAAAAGTATCACATGTTAAGTCATACAATGTTCAGATATACTAATAGTAAAGTGAAGATAGGTGCTTTGCTTACTAGTTAGGCTATAATATAATGATTTACCTGTTTTTTGATTCCATTACTGTAAGTATATTCGATGGCAACAACTTAAAGATCCCTGGTGGGGGCATTGGGCTGCTAACCACAGGGTGAGCAGGTTCAAACCTACCAGTTGCTCTTGTAAAGATTTATCGTTTCAAAAACCATCTGTAGGGTTTATTTGAGTGTGAAACTAAATGTAAACTCCTTTTGTATTTAAATTATCCAGTTGTTTCTCTTTTGTTCTTAATGCTGTGCGGGTGATTTGGGTGTGTAAAAAGTTAAAGATGATTTTTCTGGTCTGATGAAGGCTGTTCTGGCAAGACTGAAAGGGCACCCAAGTGTACCTTTAGGAGAACTCTGAGGTACCCATTGTTTTGGTGAACTACCCTGTCAAAGCTAAAAGGTATTTTGGCAACAAGCCTTCAATTTAAAGCCTAACGCTGCTTTCTCAAAGCATTGAACAGACCTAAGAAAAGCTGTCTTTTCAGGTCAGTGGAAAACACTAAAGTAAATTGCAATGGTGTGGTAACTTTGAAGCAGTTTGGTAGAATAGAAAGAAACCTGAGATCTGGAGTCCCATCTCAGTTTGAATTCCAGCGACACCATTTATTAGCAATATGATCTTCAGTCAGTTATTTAATCTTTCCCACTTTCAGTTTCCTTATCATCAATTATTATTGGAAAAATAATATTACCTTTCGCAGATACTATGAAGATCAAATTAAAGAGTGCATGTTAAAGCGGGCCTTTGAAATTTTTCATTCTGTTTCAACCCCATACTGAGAATTTGCCTTTTCCACCCCAGATTGACTGGATCATAATCTATATCTTAACAACCCCCCCCCCCAGGCCCACATGATTCTTATGCACACATAATAGAAAGACATCTTTCGTCCTGTGGAACAGCTGGTGGATTCGAACTGCCGTCCTTTCTGTTGGCAGCCGAGCACTTAAATTTGCTGTCCCTCATTAAAGACTATTAAAATCTTACCTGGAGGAATGTGCAGCTTAAAAAGCAGTTTAAGCTTCTCTGTAAAACTTCCATTGTACATTATGTCTGTTCAATAAAATTCAATGGTAAATAGTCATGTATCCAAAGGACATTTAATTAATTCCAGCTACACAGATTAATTAAGACACAGTTCTTAGCCAGGAATCAGAAACCCACTCCTGCTTAAATTAATAGGTAAACAACCCCCCAGTCACGTGGATCTGCTCCTTCAATTGTATAAGTAAAATAACCTTTATCTTTTTTTCTTTGGAATGAAACCTTATGGCTCATTTGACAAGAAAACTGCTCTGGAATGGGCAATCTCTGATAACAAAGCATGCTGGGGTAATTTGAAAGAGTGAAGAAATAAACAATACAACTGGTACAACCTGTTTGTTGGATATTCCCCTACCATGTTTCTAGGTTGGGTTTTTCCTGAGGTGGAAAGTCCTGTAGCACTCATGCACCTAAGCGTGGGAAAGCCAGGACATTCTCTTCCTTCACTGAAACACCCACATCTAACAGCTTTTTTTCCCCCGGGAGGGTTGCGGCAAAATTAGATCCATATAATTAGTCTTGACAGCAAACACAGAAAAAGTCCAGTATTGCCAAAGCTGGAGATAATTCAACCCAGGGTGATGGAAGCGGACTAAATTGGTGGTACTAAGCAGAATTACATATTTTTAGGGGTTATTTTCTTGCTTTAAAAAGAAAAAAAATGATTGGGCATCATCCTACCAATTGCAGAGGAGAATTCTTTGAAGTTTATAAGGCAGTCTGAGTTTTCATCCAACAATCTGAATGTCCATAAAGCTAGCACATCTCTGTTTGCAGAATGAGCCCAGGGACTCAAGAAGTGATACAATACTCTGAACTGTTCACAGTCGATCTGATACTGTTCCAAATATGGCAGGCTGGGATCATGGTGCTTCAACACTGGACAATTCAAACTCCAATAACAAGAAAGAAACAGCTCTTTCTAGAAAAAGCAAATAATAAAAAGGACATTGCATCAGAAAGTCATTTTGGAAGAGCTTTTTTTTTTTTTGGTTAAGCCTATCTGTTTAAATAATTAAAGATAAAATACTTAAGAGGGATTGGGATAAAATTCTGCTATACGAGCACTGCTTTTTGTTTGCTAGAAAAATAATCATACCTTAAAGATGCCATAAAGTTCATCCAATTCCTGAAGGCTCAATTTCACATCTTGTGATACAACGCGCAACTTAAAAAGAAAAGATTAGAAGGAATTCAGAATCTAGAACTTAACTTTTCAATATAGATGTTTTCTTTAAATTAATTTAGAGATCTCTCTGGTAGAAGAAACCTTATTTCTTTTAAGTTTTAAAAGAAAAAAACTTAAAAGAAAAGCAAAGGTAAATGCAACCACTTTAACTTTAAAAAATTGTATATAGACTGTATGTACAATTTTACTTGGATATGTACATTGAGACCTTAATTTCTGCATGCTCAAGAAATCACTGCTAAAGGACAGTCACTTAATATTTAAAATATATATAAGCAACAATATTCAAGTCCCATTTCATAAACTTTGCTGTGAACATATAAGCAATTTGTTAATGGATCATGTGGGGCTGTGAATTAAATTGCCATACTTCAATGGCACTATCAAATACTGAAGGTTTAATGAATGGAAGCAGAGCATTGTTGGAGACAGTGCCTGAGGAGGGGCCCCTGGGGCCAGGGGGCATTAGAACTGTGAGCGAGGAGGAGATGCTTTCTCAGAGTGGGGACATGATAGAGGAAAGCCTTTGGGACTGGAGATTTGGGGATCTTCATTTGCTGATGGGGCATGAATCAAGTAAGAAGAAACAGCTGCAAAAATCTGCTAATGATTAGAACTTGGAATCTGCGATGTGTGAATCTTGAAAAGTTGGACGTTGTCAAAAAACGAATTGCAACGCATATACAGATCAGCATCCTAAGCATTAGTGGGCTGAAATGGACTGGTACTGGCCATTTTGAATCAGAAAATTATAGATTTACTATGCCAGGAATACTGCAATCAAGAGGAATGGCGTTGTATTCATTGTCAAAAAGGCCATTACAGAAATCACCCATGAAGTACAAAGCTGTCTGTGATAGGAGTATTGTTTGGGCCAGGTCCCCATCTCCTCTCCGACTCCTCAGGAAGAAAGAACTTCAAGGCCCCCATTTCCAGCCTCTGGGGAAGATAAGTGAGCTATTGAAGTCTGCATCTTCTGCTCCGACCTTCCAGGGAGCTTATCTCCCCAGACCAAGGACCTGCAGCCCCTGACCCAGCAACAAAGGCATTTCCCGCGGGTCGCATCCTGACTCAAGGTCCTGCAGCTGCAAGCAAGAAATCTCCCTTCTTGTTGTCAAGGTCTCCCTCCCTAGCTCGAGCCCTCCATCTCTCCCACCGCCTCACCGACAAGCTGCGACTTCCCTGACCTCACTCTTGGGTCTCGGAACCGCCCAGGCGCTCAAGATGCTCCTGTCCCTCTCTGTGCTCTCCCTTCCCTCCCGGGAGTTCTTTCCCGACCCTCATAAAGCCGCCCTTAACCTCACATTCTGTGTCTCAGTCCTATCTCCGTCCAGTGTCTCAGTGTTGACCTCTTAAGTATATCTATATGCCTTCAACGAAATCCAATCAAGACAACTATTATTCAAATGTATGCACCAACCACAAAAGCTAGTAGTGCAGAAATTGAAGAATTTTGCCGACTTCAGTCAGAAATGGATCCAACCTGCAATCAAGATGCATTGATAAATATTGGAAAATTGAAATGCTGACGTTGGAAACAAAGAAGGAACAGTAGTTGAAAAATATGGACTTGGTGGTAGAAATGAAGCTGGAGATCACATGATAGAATTTTTCAAGACCAGTGACTTGTTCACAACAAATACCTTTTTACAACAACACAAAAGGCAACGATGCACATGAACTTCTCCAGATGGAATACACAGAAATCCAATTGACTACATCTGTGGGAAGACATGATGGAGAAACTAAATATCAGCAGCTAAAACCAGGCCAGAGGATGATTATGGAATAGCTCTTCAATTGCTCATATGTAAGTTCATTATAAAGCTGAAGAAAATTAAAAGAAACCCATAAGAGCCAAAATATGACCTTGAGCCTATCTGACTTGAATTTCAAGAATATCTCAAGGACAGATTTGGTGCATTGAACACTAAGGATGGAAAATCTGATGAGTTGCGGGAGGACACCAAGAACATCAATCATGAGGAAAACAAAATGTCATTAAAAAGACAAAGGATGAGAGCTCAAAGTGGATGTCAGAAGGGACTCTGAAACTTGCTCTTAAATCATATAGTAGTTCAAGCAAATGGAAGAAATGAAGTATAAGAGCTGAATAGAAAATTTCAAAGGGTAGCTTGAGAAGACAAAGCCAAACATTATAACAAAATGTGCAAGGTCCCAAAATGAGAAAACCTAAAGGGAAGAACATGCTCAGCATATCAAGAAAAGAGTTCAAGTCTAGAATTACAATTTTGAAAGATTCTAAAGGGCAAAATATTGAATAATGCAAGAAGCATCAAGAGAAGATGGGAAGAATGCACAGAGTCACTGTACAAAAAGAACTAGTCGACATTCCACCATTTCAGGAGGTAGCATATGATAAAGAACCAATGGTACTGAAGGAAGATGCTCAAACTGTACTGATAGCATTAGTCAAAAACAAAAGTCCAGGAACGGATAGAATACCAATTGAAATGTTTCAACAAGCTGATGAAGCACTCAAAGCAATCACTAGTCTATGCCAGGAAATTTGGGAGAAAGCTACTTGGCCAACTGACTGGAAGAGATCCATACTTGTACCATTCCCAACAAAGGTGTTCCAACAGAATGCTCAAATTGTAGAATATCATATGCAAGTAAAATTTTGCTGAAGATCACCCAACAATGGTTGCAGCAGAACATTGGCCAGGGTCTTCCAGATATTCAGGCTGGATTCTGAAGAGGAAATAGAATAAGGGACATCTTTGCAGACATCATGTGGATCTTGGCTGAAAACAGGGAATATTAAAAGTTTTCTTAAGTTTTATTGACTATACAAAGGCATTCAACTATGTGATTCATAATAAACTCTGGATAAATTTGAGAAGAGTGGGAATTCCAGAATATTTCTGTGTGCTCATGATGAACTTGTACACAGATCAAGATGTGTGAATCCCCTCCCTAGAAATAGATGTGACAGAGAACAACACTAAATCTACAGGTTGGGGAGAGGGGCCGGCATGCCACGCCCACACAGAAGCAGACCAGGAAGGAAGAAGAGAAAGAGAGAACTGGACTGGACCTCACGCTGGCACAACAGGCCCAGAAGATGATGTCACTGTGGGGAACTAATGGGACACCGAGGGGACTGTGCAGCCGACAACAGCTTGTGTCATGTTGTCCCCTTACTGGAGCAGACTGTGACAGAGGACAAATCTGGGGTCATACGACGGGGAGGTAGTGCAGTCTGAACTCTCCACAGTGGGACGAACCAAGAAGGGAACATACCAGACCAGCAACTCGGGCAAAGCAAACCTACAAATCCCCTGAGGAACCCCCCAAAAAGGACTCCAGGCCAAGAGGGGCAGCTCCTGGACAGTCCTGAAGGCCCGAGAACAGACCTGGGATTTTTGTATATTTCTTCTCTTTTTGTTTTTTCTTTTCTTCCTTTTCTTTTCCTTCTCGTTTCTTCTTCTTTTTTCTTTTCAACTTTTAATTTATTATCAGTTTGGGCTATGTCATAGTCGATGTGCCTACCTATATAAGATAGGCATGGGAAGCATGCCGGAGGAGAAAGCAGTGGGACCAACAGTCCCAGGGAGACCTGGGGGGTGAGGGCGGTGGGGGATTGGGGTGGTGGGGGATGGGGGTGGTGAGCAGGCAGCACCATAAACAGGGGAACAACTAGGGTATTCGAATAAACAACAAGGAGGAGATAGGGATCCAGCAGGGGTGGTGGTGGTGGTGTGTCAGAGCAATATCACACTAGTTAAGAGGAGGTACCAAGAGGTGGAAATAAGAGGAAATTGACGGTGGGACAGAAGGAAGGTAAAAGGAAACAGAGGAAGGACCTAGGAAGTAAAGCAATGGATAGAGGTATAAACATAGGGGTGTACATATGTAAATACATTAATTCACAAAAATAGAGGTATTGGCCTATGTACATATATTTATACAGCAATACTCTGAGGCAGTGAATAGACTTCGGGCCTCTGCTCATACCCTCCCTCATTATAAGAACACTTTGTTCTAACAGATCAGCTGTCTGAGAGTTCCACCCTCCTGACACAATCACTGAAGACCAAATGGGTGTATACGTAAATGTGATGAAGAAGGCAGATTAAAAGATATAGCGTTTGGGGTCTTAAAGGCTTGCAGATAAACAAGCCGCCATTCAGCAGAGAAGCAACAAGTCCACATGGAAAAAGCACACTGCTGGTGCGATCATGAGGAGTCATAGGGACCGGGTAATAGGCATCAAAAGACACATAACAAACAAACAAAAACATATTGTTGAAAATGAGGGGGGATGGAGCAGAGATCCAAAGCCCATCTGTAGACAATGGAACAATCTTCCCACAGAGTGACCACAGGGAAGGGATGAGTCAACCAGGGGGCATTAAAGCATGGATGAAAAACACAATATTCTTCTGGTTCCTTGAGGCTTCCTCACCCACCACTACCATGACCCCAGTGCTGCTTCTCAATTCAGACTAAATTGGAAAATGTATAGATAAAAGATGGGAGCTCACGAAACACAGAATCAAGGACCAGGAGTGGGAACAGCGGTAACACAAGGGTAGGGGGAAGGGAGGGGGAGAGGAAGGGAAAAAGGGGAAACTGATCACAGTGATCGACACATAACCGTACACCCCTCTCCAGGGGTAAGAACAACAGAAAACATTGGGGAAGGGAGACAGTGTGAGATATGGAAAAAATAATTTATAATCTATCAAGGGGTTATGAGGGTGGGGAGGAGGGGGAAAAAAGGAGCTGATGCCAAGGACTCAATAGAAAGTAAATGTCTTGAAAAGAATGAAGGCAACATATGTACAAATTTGCCTGATGTAATCAATGTATGGATTGTATTAAGTGTTGTAAGAGTCCCCAGTAAAATGATCTTTTAATAATAAAAAAGATGCTGTGTGAACAGAACAACATGCTTTAAAGTCGGGAAAGGTGTGCGTCAGCGTTGTATCCTGTGACCATACTTATTCAAA